ATGCCGTCACATGTTACGTCACGACGCAACACCAATCAGGATTGGATTAGTTTCATTCATACTTCAGAGGCGCACGCTTAGGGAGCGTCCCCAAAGAGTCGATTTTATCGACGCAGTGTTGAGTTCCCTCGATAGGGAACTCACACTTATTTAAAAATATTTTTTCTTTCTCTGGCATTTCTTTCTTTTTGCTGTATCGAAAACGTACCGAACCGTGACTTTAAAACCGAGGTACGTACCGAACCGTGATTTTTGTGTACCGTTACACGTGTGTATTGAGACTTAACTATTTTCTTACCAGCTTCACTGTCTTATTATTCAGCTCCTTCAGATCTTTTTTTTAGCAATGTGGACATTAGCAAACAAATGTTGAATCTTAGATAGAGCTATATCTCGAACTGCCTGGAGCTTCATGCAGATCGGTAGGGGACACTGGTCTATCATGTCCAGTCAATTGAGTATTCCTTACAGATATCGCTCACTTGCTCTTGCCATTCTCCTGTTACATTAAACATGTGTCCTAGATAATTGTATGATTCATGTCTTGAATAGACTCTGATTGTGCTTTGCGCGATTTTGAAAGATGGAGGCTGATCGTACTTAGCTCTATACCATCTATTGCCCCTGCTGCTGCGCTCATAGAACACTGCACATTTGTTATTCTTGACTTCAAGTCCAGACCATTGCAGAAAGCGATCGGTGTATGACAGCATGTTGGTGATGACGTTCTCCTCTCTTGATACTATGAGGACGTCGTCGGCAAAGGCCTGAACTGGGTTTGGAGATGTAATACCAGCTGGTGCGAGGAGGCATAACCATTTCAGCCAGTGGTTTAAAGCTACTATGAAATTCAACACGCTCCAGGGACACCCCGGGCCCTATCTTGCACCCGGCGCAAATGACTTTATACACAAACGCATGTCTCATTCCTATTTTGCACGCGTGCAAAGCGGGATTTTCCCCTCCACAGACGCACGTCGGTAAACTAGGGAATGAACTTGTGCTCACTGGGTGGATCGGCACAAAAAGGAGGCGTGTTTCGGCGCAAACATTCCCTGGTGCTATTTTACACTTCCAGAAAACAATTGCGCCACTGACCAGAAAAAACCTGGTCTAAAGTCAGTGGCGCGTTGCGCGTTGTTCATAATGCTATTTTAAGCGTGCATGCTTGCCCATAATGTAGCGGGTACACAACGCGCATACACTGATTCTCTCATCAACACAGATGCAGCATTTTTTATTTTTGCAAATCATAACAAGGAAAAATATTAACACATGAGGGAAATCATTGTGGTTTACATGAAGATGCAAAAACTGAATTACCCATTTTTTAAGGCTAATTGTAGTACTGAAGGATCAGACCTGTTTGCCCAATAGTGGCAAGAAACATATATAGGCTATAATGTTTAACCGACGCTGATGTGCTAGAGTTTCTCCCATCCCCATACAACGTCACCTCTCTGTCTTTCACTGCCCTGACAAGAACGTCGGTCTCATCGGCTATGAACCATCCTGGTGCGCGCCTGGTAAACCCGCCGTTATAATAACAATCCGTCATGAAACATGCGAACCTGTTCTTAAAGGGTATGTTGGATGGCGCTCTGATTGGTTTATTTCACGTTACGCCCAAACCACACCTATAAATAATGAAGCTACTTCAGACCAACCTCTTTTAGATTTGCGCCAGGCGCAAGAGGCATTTATCCCGCCGGGAAAATAGCAACAGCGCCGGGACCCGCCCACAAAGTTACTTGCGCCATGCGCTTTGACACTTGCGTTTCAGATCGTTAAAATAGGGCCCCCCGTCTTAATTCCAACTTCAAGTTTAACCGGTTTCGTTAGTTGATAGCCACAAATAACTTATTTACATATACATTATTTACTCATATACATTCTTGATTATATGTATATACTGTTCAGGCAGTTTTATTTCCTCAAGGGAATGAAGCATTACACTATGGGGTAAAGAGCCAAAGGCGTCTCGAAAGTCAAGGAACACCGCATAAAAACGGGAGGATTCATGTTTAAAATCATCGATTGCAGTCTTCAGACCGAATACGTGCTCATTCATTCCTTGCCTCTTTATGTACGCTTTTTGTTTTGTTGTTAATGTTCCTGATTCCACCAGCCAGGGTAAAATTCGGCCGAGAATACACTTCATAAATACCTTGTATATGGTGGGTAGCAACGAAATATCTCAACAGGTGGAGGGGTCTTCTGGAATGTTGTTCTTTTTGGGTATCCTATATATAACAGCACCCTTCCAGGAATCAGGGATTTTTCGATTAATTAAACAGACATTGAAAATCTGAGTAAGGGTCACTATTGAAAATTGTTTTGTTGCTTTAAGCACTTCATAAGTTACCCCTTCTGCACCACATGCTTTGTTGGGAGACTGCAGAGAACTCTTGAGATCTCCTCTGTGGTGAGGTCCGAGGTTACAGGCAGATCTTTCGGGATGTCCAGATCAAGAGCGCCACGCCATGGAGGGCTGCTTATCTGCTGATGTAACTGTGCAGGTTGGCATTTCGCAGTATAATACTCATAGACTTTATCCACGTTGTTAATAGCAGGAGGTGAATCTGTATAAATACTATGATTTAGAATAATATCTATTGCCTTGGTCCTATGGTGTTCCCAAAGATAAGCTAGTTCGTTTTCGCTTACCACTCTTGGCTCTCTCACACGGCTGGAATTCGTTACTCTATTGAGCGCCGGCTGAACACTTTCCCGCACGAAGCGCAGCTGTTGGTATATCCATTCAGTGAGCGTCTCTGGATCGGGTCTCGGTGAGAGCGCTCTACAGAGGGGGAATTTCTGTAGGATTCTCACGGTGTACTTCAACAAAGGAATTCCTAATGGTCTCCCATCTCAGTGAGTTGGGGTATAAAATCCATTTCTGTAGTTCATGTAGTTCACACACACACACACACACAAATCAGTAAATTCAAACTGTTTGTTATATTAAAATCTGTTTATTACTCCTGATCACTTTTAGAAAGGGTTCCCTGGTACATATCGACATACTGTATAATAGTTAGACTATAATAATAATAAAAAAGATTGTCTCAGTTTATGTATGTAGCCCCCGAGAGGGGAACAAATTTCTGCATCATGGCGATGACGCTATGGGAACGCTTTGTGTGAGCCAATGTCCGAAGCATATGTTTGGACATGTCTGTCCCTGATTCCTCGATGTGATGATGTTGTGATGTAGTGCAGTATGCCATCGAAATCATAAACAGATTATCAAATTGTAATTGTCCAAAGAAGAGGACCATCCTGCTGCAGCACAAATCTATTGTAAGAGTGTACCCCTGGCAATAGCTTTGGAAGTCAATTCCTAATGGAGTGGACCCTAAGACCTGGATGCGAAGCCATTTCATGCACCTTGTAGGAGAGTCTGTGATCCAGTGCGAAATATGCTGCATGGTGACCACATTCCATTCATTGCGAGCACCAAAGCAGACCATAAGCTGAGAGCATTTATGCCACTGGCCAGAGTGGTGTGCATAGATCCTTTGGACCATGAACCGGATATAACAGGTGCAGAATTTCTTGCTCTTGCGTATCATGAGGTTTAGGGAAGAAAGCCTGTAAAATCACTGGCTTAACAGCTATAAAAGGAATCTTCGGAATATAGTGCGGTCTGGGGACCAATATAGCTCTGACATCCTGGAGCAAAGTTACTGGAACAGGCACTTTGCTCCAGGAACAGGCTACTGAAAGAGCCTCCAGATGACACCAGATGATGTCTCTCAACAGAAGCTCCATTTGAAGGTATGTGGCTAGCTGAAATGGTAGACATAGACATTTTGCGTAGCGGGGTTCAAACCCTTTAAAAGGCGATCTTGAAGGAACTCTCTTTTGGGTTCAAATGGTCAACAACCTCGGTTGAGAGACCATAATATATGACCCTCAGGGGCCAGACCCAAAGTTTCCAGATCTCCATTTTGGGGTGGGCTGCCCTTGATACAGAAAATCTTTCTTCCATCTTGGAGAGATGCCAGGTCTGAGAACCATACTTGTGCCGGCCAGAACAAAGCCTTGGCGAACACTTTCTAGAACCCTTGGTACCAGAGGTATCAGAGGAACGGTGTACAAGCGTAGCCTTGGCCACATCTGTGGGTCGTCTCCTCGGAGGCGATCAAGTCTACTTCTGCTCAACTGTACCAGAGTATTCACAAAATCCAAATTATCAAAATCCATTTACATTTGTCATTAACATTGCATTTAAATATAACATTTTGAATACAGAAATATTAAATATGAACAAAAATGAAATTATACTGCTATGTAGGAATCTAAAACTGCCAATTTGTGGCGGCAAGTTATAATCATTCATTCAACCGATTTGTTCAAAAGTGACCTCTGTTTACAATGGGTCATTAAATAATAGACTCAAGTGATTTGTTAAAAAAATGCTAAATCATTCAACACTGAAGCACCACTTTTTGTTGCTGGTGGACGCAACTGTTCTGCTTTGTTTTTCTATTTTCGCTGGCGCAATAGAACAAAAACAGTGAAAATGTACTTTTTTCTAAAAATGTAAAAAAAAAAAAAAACTTAATGGAGGGCTAAAGCTGGTTTATACTTACCGAGTCCGCATGAGCGCGAAGGTGTGCACGAAAAAAAAATTACATCATCGCGGTGTGGACGGTCATGCACGTTGAGTGTTGAGTCCGCAAGACCCCATTCCGCATGGCAATTTCATGCTGCTCTGCATCCAAATATGCAAGACTTCGAGCCAAATCTGTCTCACCACACTGGCACCCAGTTTTGTTCATCTAAATTAGTTGCTTATGTGACATTATTAGTTAAGTGATTGACAGTTGCGGCATCCTATCAGGGGATAGTATCATCTATTTAATGCGGGTTGGCTGTGTCCGGAGATGCATCGCGTCTTTACTCCGCCTCCCCGCGTGCGTCATTCACTCGCGTCTCGGGTATGTTTTGATCGCGTCTGGTTTAAATCAGGTGTTTGGAACCTAACTGATATTATTCTTTTAAATTGTAGTTGTCAATCAGCACTTTTCCGGCGGTGCACGTTATGAGTTCAGAGTGAGTGTCTGTTCACCCCTCAGGTAGGTTCTGTCTCTGTATTGAGTACTGGGGTGCAGTAATAATGGGTCGCTATGTTACCATTAATGTGTTGCTTCCTGTATCCCAGTTAATCAGCGGTCTTGATGATTGCTGTAAACAGTAGCCAGAGGGAATTGTATGCGAGGAATATTCTCTTGTGGTAAGTGTTATGTAAAATGGATGGAAATTGTAGTAAAAGAGCAATAGTAACATCTCGCTTTCTTTAAGGCGTGGGTCTCCTCTCTCATTCTCCGGACCGTTCTTTGCTCTCGTCTTCAGTACGATCTTCTTCCCGTTCTGCAGTGAATTGCGCTCAAAATAACCTGAGTACATTTGAGAACCACGTGTTTACGCTGCGATCGCGCCGTGGGCCAGCAGCAGGATTTGCATCGTCTACTTCCTTTACTTCTAAAGCAATCGCAAAGTTATAATCGGTCTGTCCTTTGTATGAGAGCCGATGTGTGGGTGTGTGTGCACTACATTAGCTCGATTTTGCTGTACATCTTTTCTTGAATTCTAATGTGTGAATAGTGTTTAGATTTTGCTTTTATCTAAATGTGTGCGTATCCTTATCGACCTTGATTATTTTATTTTTATTTTCTCTGTGGTCATTGTTGTGTGTTTTTTTTTTTTTTTATTAAACTCAGTTTATTTGTTTTCTCAGGAACTGAGGTGGCCAGGCGGAAGGACCTTCTCTTGTATGGTGATAGCGGTGGTGTTGCAGTGGGTGACACTTTTGAAGTGCCTGTGTGTGTGATTTGGTGCACGGTGACGTGTGTGTGTGCGTGAGTTGGATTGTGCTTTTGGAAAAGCCATTAAGTGGTCCTTCCGCCGGCAGACTCGGCCTGGTGGTTTGGTATATTGTTTGTTTGTATTACCTGTAAATTGAGCTTTGTAGAGTCTCTTGCTGTTCCTCCTACCCTCGTGGGTAGAGGACTGCTGATGTAGCCATTATATATTGCCCGCTGTGACGACACCTTTTGTCAATTGCCATTATTTGTGCATGTAGCGCTGTGCGCTCCTTTTTTACAAGGACATACCATTTTTTTTTAACTCTTTTATATATTAATAAAAACTATTTTTTGTAAATTCTTTGTACATGTCTCTGACCTTCCTGGCACACACGAACCTGTGACCTAATGCAAATTGCTGGGTTATTTAGATATTCCCCGAATTATTCAGGGTGGCGTAGTCGACAATTATCACTGGAAAATATAAAGTAAAACCCTATATCGCTTACTGCCACACTTACATTTACAAAATGACCCCTTTTAATAAAAATAAAGGTCCATGTTTTATAAAAATGGTATCCATGAACGATATGAAAATGTTTAGTGAAAATAGAAATCTAATGTCACAAGAATGTCACAAGCAATAATCTCAAGCTTTACTGCTTTACACGAATAGCATGTAGTGGTGTACTAAAATAAACAACTCACCGCTGATTTATGATGGTTTCTTATAGGACAATTACTCTGAGTCGCCCTCTGTCGTTTCAAAAAATAGTACAACGGCAAGCACATCAAGTATATAAACGCCTTGTCCGTTTGGACAGTTTTAAATTGTTATTGGGGTGAGCTATTTTTTCAAGATACAATGAACTCACAATGACTAACAAATCCACAGCTGTCTCTGTTAGAATTTAATGGTTAACTGTGCCAAACTCCCTTTGGCCTCCCCAAAAGCAAAAATCAGCACTGTCCCCGTGTGGCCAATGAACCATAATCACTATATAGTACATTTTTCTTATACTCTCTGCTCCTGGCTTTCCCTCTTCCTTTTGTCCATTCATCCAATCCTCTGTCGCCAAAGCTTGCTGGTTTGTGGACAGGGGCCTTATTGCCTCCATGGCCTGCTATGACACCCTCAGGGTCAGGCATTAATTTGATGAACATTCATGGCCTTGCATTCCAGCTTTTTAATGATTTCTGGAAGGGGAGTCTTCACCCTTCAAGCCTTTTCCTGTGATCCAATGAAAACTCCATTAATTTAGCCTGACTGGTTAAACACACACACACACGTTACGTTTCCCTATCTTTGTGGTGACTCTCAATAGACATTTTTTTTAATTAATTAATTAATTTTTTACTATACAAATTGTACTGTACTCGATCCCCCAACACTAAAACTACCCATCACAGAAAACTTTCTGCATTTTTTACATGTTCAAATAAGCCCAATTAATGTTTACTAATCCATTTGCCAGCAGCCATATCACCCTGTAGCCCAAGACTGGTTGCCCACTGACGCTAAGCAGGGCTGAACCAGGTTAGTGCCTGGATGGGAGACCTTCTGAGAAAGCCAGGTTGCTCCTGGAAGAGGTGTTAGTGAGGCCAGCAGGGGGTGCTCACCCTGAGGTCTGTGTGATCCTAATGCCCCAGTATAGTAATGGGGATACTATACTGTCAAAGAGCACCGTCCTTTGGATGAGACGTTAAACCGAGGTCCTGACTCTCTGTGGTCATTAAAAATCCCAGGATGTCTTTCGAAAGAGTAGGGATGTAACCCCGGCATCCTGGTCCAATTTGCCCAGTGGCCTCTGTCCATCATGGCCTCCTAATCATCCCCATATACACCAATTGGCTTCATCACTGTCTCCTCTCCACCAGTAAGCTGGTATGTGGTGAGCGTTCTGGCACACTATGGCTGCCGTCGCATCATCCAGGTGGATGCTGCACACTGGTGGTGGTTGAGGAGATTCCCCTCTCTATGTAAAGCGCTTTGAGTGCCGAGAACAGCGCTATATAAATGTAATTAATTATTATTATTATTATTATTATTTGCAATGATTTTCTGCAAAGCTGCTTTGAAACATATTGTGAAAAGCGCTATACAAAATAAATGTGAATTGAATGTGAATTTCTACCACACTGGCTGGTCCCCACAATGTAGGTGATCTCAGGTTTTACTATCCTTGAGGGGTGTGATATTTGATCCCCACAATGTAGGTTAAAACAAACTATACACACAGAGACACTCTCTCTGGTGTGTGTGAATCTTATTAGCAGGTTTACTGTAATTTGATGTGGCGCAGTGATGTGATTGTTCGTCTGGCAGGTGGACACGATGTGTCACTACCCAAATGCTGCAGTTTGGCAATAGGAAGCGGAGAGTACAGTTTCACTACTAAACACACAGGCAGATATAAGAGTGTGAAAGAATGAGTAAATATGTAAAGGCCTAAAGCTAGACAATGAGAAATCAAACAGTTCCCACTTCTCCACCACCCACTCTGCAAACAGTGAGCCAATCGTCTAAAGGATTCTCAACTGACTGCATTGTTACATACATTAAGTCATCTCAATTTTACATGTACTGTATGGCCTGGGTTGTCATACACAACAATAACACACCCTGATGATTATAACACACTTCATATATTATACATTATAATAGTAGATTTTTTACATTTCTTAAGATGATGTGAGTGGTTGGTTGTTGGCAAGGCATTGATATGCAATTACTAATGATTTCTGGGTCATTGTTGGGGCATTATTGTGCATTATTGGGTATTTTGAGTGGGTTTTAGGTGGTTGGGTCAATTAAATGATGTCTGGATTTATTAATTTATTCAAATATATATACAATTTCTAGATAGTGGTTGAATACACCATACTATAAAATCTATGATGCATGTTTTCATTTCTTAACTTCATAATGAAGAAAAGGGTATTAATTATCCAATGAAATTCTTGAAAATAAAACTGTATTTAAATAGTCTTGCACAGAATGATATTGAAATGTAATTCCTGTCCAGCCTAAGTTAAAACTTAGTTTTAGGGATTTGTTTAAATTAGCTTAATTAGTAGGATAGTAATAAGTATACTTCCCTAAAAGCAAGAATCTCTGGTAACTATAGGGTCAGTTTGGATTTCAATAAAATTATATACTGAAATAAATCCTTAATATCTTTAACACTAAACCAGTGCATTAATAATGCAAGCATACAACATTGCACTGTCACAATTTAAAGAATCATGGCTTAAGCTGGTATTAATCAAATTTACATTTTTAATTTAGTTTTTGAGCATTTTGTAAACTGTTGTTGAGGAATAATGATTAAAAATGTATGAGGCAAAAGGCTTGTGCACCTACAGTATTAAAATAATACATTGCATCCATTTTATTCTGACTAAAATCACAAAGGCAGCAGAAAATGTTTAGATAGATTTAAATCTATGTATAACACAATAATAATAATAATAATAATAACAATGATGATGATAATAATAATAATAATAATAAAGGCATAACTGATCCAGCAGTACAGTACATTTGGCAAAATTACCTTTGCACATTTTAAAAAGGCGGATTGCATTTACACCTTCATTCCAATTATATCAATTATCCAAGTGCAGTCAGATAGAAACCCTCAGTAAAAGGAGAGACAAGAAATAGGGATTGCAAGTGAAGAAAGGGGGGAAAAGTTATAAAGCACTTTCTTTAGAAAGATAATTGAGAGGAAAGATTTTAAGTGTAATCTAGTGAAATAATTTGTTCAATGATTGGATATTATGGATTTAATCAAATCAAATTGAATAAGAAATTAAATTATAAAACTAACATTTCCTTTTCTACCATTTACTGTACAGTGTATGAACAAACAGGAACTGAATAACTAAAGTATCAAATGGGGTTACTGAGTAGAGTTAAGAACTGTAGACTTTCCCCCTGGTGGGATTTAGATGACATGATTTTCCATTTTATGAGATCCATCAATCTAAGTCAATCTCCAACCATTCAAGTCTATTAAATAAGGCGTAAGATGGGCTGGCTCAGTTTTGACCCAGTGTGAAATTGGCACCTGAAATTCACTTCGAGTCAGCCAAAGGGAAAAGGAAGCAAGTGCTAAAATATTATTCATGTCAAGTTGCCTGCTTGGCAAGACAGAGAACGATAGGTGGGGAAGTCTGTTCAAAACAAATCCATGGCATGGTGTTGCATCACACACTTTAGGGAAGTTTAAACTCAGTCATCTCATTTGACAGCCGACGGTGATATTACTCCAGCATCATATCTGGAGATTTATGTTTTATGAAAACCTTGCAGTGGCAGAAATGAGTTGTTCCATCTTTATTTCTTCCATGGAGACAATTTGATAAAATACCTCTGTCACCTCAAAATCTGGCAAATGTTTTGCTCATAAAAAAGTGCAATGCATATTCTTTGAAAATTAATGGAGGGACAGGATTTGCATGCACCTCTAAACATTATTATGAGATTACATGTATTTTGATTTAATTAAAGAAGAAGCTTATTAGTGAATATGGCCCTGAAATAAATAAGTGTACTGTCATCAACATTTTAAAGTAATTTACCTGAGATATTGTTTTTCGTTTTTGTTTTTTCTGCTAAATTGCCATTTTAATGCTTTATGTGACGATTGGTTCATTATGGAAACTGTGAAAGATTTTTTTAATTAATAATAACTAACATTTCTTTTTTGTGCAGGATTAACAATTATGTGACTTTAAACCTAAATGTCCCCAACACTTTGGCCAAAGATTTCATTGGTTCCTTGAGTTAATGTGGTTGGAGTTGTTAGAGACTTTTTCTGCATTGAATTAGGAAGAAACTATTAACGATTCTTGTAATAATATCAGGTGACAGAATGGAGAAAAAACCTTGGGAGAAACCAGGCTCAGTCGAGGGG